AGAAGCTTTCTCGTTTTGGCGTCCATTCACTTAATTTCAGCTATGGTCCAGTTAAGGCCATTAAAGCTGTATTGCACCACAGGGACAGCCAATGTGTTTATGGCTGATATTCTGTTATTATTATTATTATTATTATTATTATTATTATTTGCGTATGTAATGTTTTCTGCTTTGTAGCCTGTAAAGCCGGGGCCAAACTATGGTCCTTAGGCCCTATAAGAGAATTGTCATTTAATTGATAGCACTTTTCTTATATATGGGATGTTCCTAATAGGGCGATCTTCTGGGCAACTTGTATGCTGATATTACCTGGAAGACTGTTAGGAAAATTGCCCATTCCTTTGTTCACGAGGCTCAGAGCTGCAGTTACTATTGGTACAGTCTCAGTTTTCATTCCTAACATCCTGTTAATCTCAATATCCAGATTCTTGTATTTGGACAATTTTTCAATAGAAGAAGATAGGATGATAATTATGATTATTATTATTATCATTATTATTAATATTATTAGTAGTAGTAGTATTAGTAATATTAGGATTATTACTATTATTGTTATTATTATTATTATTATTATTATTAGTGTATGTTATATTTCCTGCTTTGTATCCTGTTTATTATAAACAGAGCATTTACATAAATATTGGTTTCTATAAAAATAACGTATAAACAGACAATATCTTTATATTATATATTTTTCTTTGCTCCCGCGCAAAGTCCTGATGTTTCTTTAATTCTTCATTATCATTCCTTTTTATTCTGTGATCCACCGAAAGAAGGCAGAATGTGTGATTGCCAGCAAGCAATTTAGCCATACAAGTTTCACTAATTTATCCATAGCTGGGAGTAGAATAAGTCGACTCATACCTTACCTGATTGTATTAGATCGTAATGAATAATGGCTCGGGATTGTTAATAATAATAATAATAATAGTTTGTTAATAATAATAATAATAATAATAATAATAGATTGTTAATACTACTACTACTGATATTGCTACTACTAATAATAATAGACAGTTAATAATAATAATAATAATAGATTGTTAATACTACTACTACTACTAATAATAATAATAGTAATAATAGATTGTTAATAATAATAATAATAATAGATTGTTAATACTACTACTACTGCTAATAATAATAGTAATAGTTTGTTAATAATAATAATAATATATTGTTAATACTACTACTACTAATAATAATAATAAAAATAGATTGTTAATAATAATAATAGATTGTTAATACTACTACTACTACTACTAATAATAATAATAATAATAATAGATTGTTAATGAATAATGGTTTGGGATTGTTCCAATTCTAGTTGGATTCGTTAGAACCCAACTGGAATTGGAACTCGGCTCTCTGATTAACAATCCCGAGCCATTATCCATTATAGGACCAAATTGTAAATTTGAACGTCTCAAAAAGAAAACTGTTTTAATTGAATCACCAGAGAGAATGTTTACTGCCTAACATCATCATGGCTGATGCTAACCTTCCAAGTTGCGGACTTTGAATTGGAGATCTCAAAATCACACAAGTAAAGAATTTCAATATTTGGGAAGAGGACGGGAAAATGTGACATGGATATAGGAAGATGTATTGGATTAGGAACAATTTTCCACGAAAGCCGTGTAATAAGAAACAATAGATTACTACGTAGTGGTTATGACAATAGTGGCTACATGTTGAACTGGCCTCTCTTTGGGACAAATCACAGTTTGGATTCCTCAACCAATGCTTTATTCCACTGGGCCATGTGTCCTGGGCACAGCAGAGGGCAAAAAAAATGGCGATTTGAGTTACTAAAGGAAAATAAATGAAACTGAGATATATGAGGTACTGTCCGGTGAATGTCGGTTTACGGTATACGGATGTCTTGAACCCATACTCTGTTCGAGATATTAGAATATCCAGGAATGGAAGTGTATTGTTACTCTCTTTCTCCATCGTGAACTGTATCGAAGGTCTTATTGAGTTCACATGGTCCAGTAGAACCTAAACATCTTCCTGGTGTGGCCAGAGTATGAAGGTGTCATCTACGTACCTTAACCATAGAGCCTGGCTTTAGAGATATAGATTCTAATGTCATTTCCTCAAAGTATTCCATGTATATATTCGCCATTGCTGGTGAAAATGGGGAGCCCATTGCTAAGCCCTCATCCTATCGATATATGTGTGCACCTAAAATGGATAGGCAGTTATCGCAGCGTTGCATCAATCTACATCACATATACGGTGAACTGAGATATCCCCAAAAAAACAAGTCGTGGCACGTGGAATTAGAACAATCTACCTCCACTGGACAAAATAAAGAAATTCCAACGGATATCACCTGAAGGAGGTCGGAGGGTTTAAAGGCCTAAACGTCGTGGATATCGAAATAAAGATGAGGACAACAGTCTGAACGTTGTAAATAGTGTAAATAATTACAATACCTTATCTCTGAATATATAGATATACGAATATCTTCATCTTTTCCACTTTCATCTTCTCTCTTACCCTTTTTTACATTTTTATCTTTCTTTTTACATTTTTCTTTCTCTTTTTCTTCTTCCTTATCTTTCTTCATATTCCTCTTCTTCTCTTCCTCTTTCCTCTTCTTCCCTTTCTCTATTGTTTTAGTATTCATCTCTAAACTTTCTTTTTACATGGCTTTTCTGCCAATTCGTTTTTTTCCGTAACTTTGTTTCTTCTTCTTCTTCTTCTTCTTCTTCTTCTTCTTCTTCTTTTTATGCCCCTCTCCTCCCTCTTCTTCTTCTTCTTCTTCTTTAAAAATGTTTATCTCTATGTCTGTTTATTTTTATTTGTCACTTCAACCATCCGTGTGTCTCTTCGATAAAAAAAAAATTATTTAAAAATAAACGCAAATTACGATACTTTTCAATTTATTTAGTTTTCCGGAAACCTTCGGTCAAAAGCTCTTGCCTTGGGGACGCGTACGAATTGAAAAACAAATAAAATATATAAAAATGTAATAAAGAAAAAATAGATCAGATTTAGTTTCACGAATTAAAGAAAATAATTTTTACACATTCTGCACGAAGTGTGTCTTTTAATTGTTGAATTATCGAAGTATTAATTTAGCAGAGTAACCAAATAAAAAAATCTTGTTCTTGAATAAGAAAAAAAAAATATTTCCACTTTTGAATCCTATTTTCGAAAAACGGTTCACACGCAATTAGAATTTTCCCATAAATCTATTAAAACTGGGTGCAGAAGAAAAAGTACCCTTGTTGAAATCCGAAGGCGTATTGGAAGAATGAAAGATGCCTTCCAAAACTAAACAAAATATTAAAAAACAGAAA